CCTCGTCATTTGAAGGTTCGTGTGAAAACGGCAGGTGGCAGATCTCAATCCTAATCTGGCTTTGTTTGTGATGTGAGTGTCAAACACCCTTCTAGAGTTTGCTTGTTCCATCAAACTCCAATGCGTTTTTGACGACAATGTCTTTGTCCTCACAATTCCTGGCCCACCCTGTAAGTGGAGTAATTCCAACATTTTACATAAACATAGACATGATTGTAATAGCAGAGGTTTCCACATACTTTCTGAAAGCTACCAGGTTTTTTCTAAGTTCCAAATTTTCTTCTTTTAAACTGAAAAACTAAACTTTGCAGTAGTTACAAACTTCGTTTGAATATCCGCGTTTGAATATCCGTTCTTTTTCGGTAGCCAAAAGATACCTAAATTTAGAATTGTTTCCTTTCAAAACGTGCCTTACTGTTAAGAATGTTCAGCTGTTAGGAGAATTGTTCCGTTGTTTCGTTTTTTTCTATGATTCATGAGATTTCAACATTCAAGCGTTCTCTTCCTTCATAACCAACTCTGCAAACGGCTGGGGCTAATTTGACACTGGAACATTAGGGCTTCCCGTTCTTTTGTTTTTCAGTCTGTGGCTCTGTTTTTGAGAATGTTTGAATTATCAACATGCAAACGCTCATAACTTCCTTTGAGCTCAACATTTTCGAATCTGCAAGCTATTCAGAAACTAGCAGAATAGATCTTCCGAGAATGTGCTAAAACTTTTTTGAAAGACCTTTCTTTCGAAATATTCCCGTTGTTCTACTTTTTCTTCATTATTTTTTGGGCCATTCTCCTGAAACACAAATGGTCAACCTACAAACGCTTATTCGTTTCTTCAAAATGATATGATGGGAAGGGGTATCGTCCACTGAAATCTACGCGAGCAGTTCGTTTTCCATCAGGGGTATAGGTGATCGGCCGAATTTGCTGCACTTTCATCCACTTGGTTTGGTATAGAAGCATCGAAACTCCTCATTTGCTTGTTGGTCCACTGGGATATGACGGGTTTCAGTAAGGAAATCCCACTCTGAGATGCGCTATGTATTCGTCCGTGATTAGTACTCGTCGGGTTATTTCGAGAACCTGTACCCTTTCCCACTTTGCTGTTCATTCAAATTCCGTGACTAGTCCTCGGATTTACGACCCCCTTCTATTGGCCAAATACGACCCCTCCCCACGTTGATCTTTACACAATGGACGGTTGACCGTGTACGAAATCCCACCGGTGCCCACACTCAACTCAACTCAATTTTGATAGCATACATTGCAGCAAAAAATAGCAGCTAAGAGTATACAGACAATAATACAACATGCATGGATATGGAATGTAAAGATTGAACTAGTTTTTCGACTTTTCTTTCGACAAAATCAAAGGAACAAATGCATCCAAATCTGAACAGGAAGAAGCTTAATCGTTCGTCTACAGAGATTGGTCCCAAACTCAGCGCCCTTCGCTTTTGTTCCCGTCTCGATACTCCCACCGGATTGACAAGAAGTCCCACCTTCCAAGTGAAAATCAGAGAAATTACTGGTCGACGTCTGCTACAGCTACAGTTACGACTTCCACAGCTATTCAACTGTTTTTCCGGTTTTATTTCCAAGAAGAAAACCGTGAAGATTGAATTTGCTAAAACGCTTTTTCTTTTCGAAGCAAACAATTGCATCCGTTTCCAGGGTATCCAAGCATGCAGACTTTTCTGCTGATCACCGCCATCATCAGTGCCGTCAGTGCATTCCAAGTATGTACTACATTTTATGCCATATTTTCCTAACATCTTTTGACCTTGTTGTACATGATCTTTGCCCTTCAGTGCTCGCGACACCATCATGAGAATTGCGACTCGACGAAACGAATGAAGCAACTAGATAAGGACTGTAAGATGGTAAGCAACAACGAGCCGGAGTGCGCCAACAAAAACGAGGTCGAAAGTGCCTGGAAAGAATTCACAAAACTCTCGGATCGGTACAAGGAGGTAATCATGACAGTTTTTAATTGCTAAACCTCTTCTTGTTATTTTCTCTGAACATGCGTTTCGAACGCATTGCTTAGCCGAGTGGTTTATTGTCAGCTGTTACTGTCAATAGTATGGAAACCAACATACTTGATCAAAGAATCATTTCACGAAAACACAAATGTTATAGCAAGTGAAGGATCATCGAGAATGCGCCACGATCCTGAATTTTGTCCAAAATAGTGGAGGTGAACACAGACCAGAGGAAAAATTAAAAACCAAAATCGCCAATATCTTTGTGTTTCAATATTCTCTCATGCTCAGATCCAGTCTAGCTCAAAGCAGGCCAGTATGGAGAGGAAGCAGGTCAAGATATTATAGACGCACTTGGCTGAGATTCGCAATAAATATGGTCTGAAGCAATTGTTCAAAAAGCTTTTGTAAGAATAGCGAGAGCCCTAAAGATTGTGAGGGTGGTGATCGGAGATTGGACAACGCCAACGATTAGTCGAACGTTCTGGTTGAAGCACGTTTGCACAAATCTATTGAGAGGGTTCCTCCTAAACTAATCGCACTTGCATTGTGTTTTCTTGTTGTACGGGAAGAGCTGGAAAGTCCAAAATTCAAATAGGGCGTGCCGCGACAGCTCACCATTTTGAAGGGTCGTTCGCCGCGTCCTAGCCAGGGTCAACCCTGCGTTGCGCAAATTCCCAAATTTTTACGACCCCCTTCCTTTTCGGGGGGTATCGGTACGACCCCCCATATTAACTATCATGTCTTTCACATAATTTAATGCTCATCAATGCTCATCAATGATGGCAGTCACCAACATGGAGAAGTGGTGGACCGTGGTCAATCCGCGCGCTCTGTCTCGCTCAGAGGAGGAAATCGAGGCAATGAAGTTTTATTCATTAAATAGAAGGAATTTTCAAATTTTTGCGTAAACCAATACATCATTTTAATCGTAAAGATTTCTACTTTCAGAAACCCACCAGGATTTTTTCGATCTCTCAACTTTCCTTACCTTATAATCTGAAAAACTAAACCTTGTAGCAATTACATTGCAATCCAAACCCCTCCATTCAGAAGGTTATATTTTCTTTCAGAAGCTGTTTCATGAAATCGGACACCAAAATTTTTAAAAATATAAATAGTTTTCTTCCTGAGGAGTATTTGAAATGTTGTGGATGTTCAGTATTTCAAAAAATCGTGCCGTTGTTCCGTTTTCTGTGCACACGCGCGAGTTTTTGACATTCAAACATTCATAACTTTCTTCATAATCAACTTTTTGCAAATGTCTAAGGCTAATTAGAAACTAGAAGATTAGAGCTTTCGAACAAGCACCTGAAAATTTTCCAGCGATCATTTTTTCAAAAAATACTTCCGTTGTTCCGTTCTTGGGTGGTTTGGGGTCCGATTTTTGAGAAGGCGCGAGTTTTCGACATTCAAACGTTATAACTTTCTTCATACTCAACATTTTGCAGATGTCTAAGGCTAATTAGAAACTAGAGGATTAGAGCTTTCGAATAAGTGCTAAAACTTCTTGAAATAATCACTCGCTCAAAAAATAGTCCCGTTGTTCCGTCAATTCCACCTTGATTTTTTTCAAGCCTTTTTCCTGGACCGCGACTATGCAGTCTTTAAAGGCCCATAACTTCCTTTGAAATTAATGTGATGAGAAGCGGTAAAGATTGTTGGAATCCACTCGAAGAGTACTTCATAACAACTGTGAAATTTCCCTGAAATTCCTTCTTCTGCCTCAATTTTCCTACGGCGTCTCTAGAACTCAATTCAGCAAATTCGCTACACTTTGTTTCGCTTAGATTTTATTTGAAAGCATCAAAACTCTCTTCAGAAAGTTTGTCTGCTTACGGCCGCTGACAGAGGAGGCGTTTTTATGGAAAACGCCTGCTCGGGTATACGCCGTGCACCTATCTGTGGGCAGAATTCGCACTCGCATTTGAAAGTCTTCTGTTTTCCTGAAGAAGGTGTTAGTATCCTGATTGAGTTGTATTGTGCGCTGTTATATGGCACTCTTGTTTCACTTTCCCATGAACTGCTCCAACACACACCTTTCTCGTCCTCGGGATTGTCCAGGCAATGTTTCATCCACGTCGACAGAGCAGTCATGTTTTTTCACACGCGGCAGGCGATAGCTGTAACAAAGTTTTTGGCTATTGTCTATTGTACTCTTGATCTATGCCGCGGAGCAAAAGCGCCGTCCGGATAGCGTCGATTAAGGATAATAAGCTGATGGTGAGACTTATAGTGCTCTGCATGCTTTAATGCTCCCATGGAGCTCATGTCTGTGTGACTCTCCGACAGCGTGCAGAGCTCCTGGGAGAACATTAGAGGCTGAAAGTGCACTCCCGGACACTGCACTTTTCAAGCCGTCTTGCAGCCCGTCTGTGGATACGACCCCCTCCCTTTTTCGGTCGGCTGAATACGACCCCCTCGTTGTTCTTTGCGCAACGCAGGGTTGACCCTGGTTCTACTTGTTTCATGCCATGAAGAACGACCTGATTTTTTGATCATTTGCGACGTACGACAAAGAACGGATTCTTTGCTACAGAATACGAACCTTTGGTGAAGTGATCGACCGCGATCAGGCTCTACAAACTTTGCAAAAGTGAAACTTCACTGAAGGAAGGTTGAGGTGACTTTCATAAGGTCAGCGGCTGGTCTAGCTTTTCGTAACCAGGTGGATCTGTTAATGTGGAAAAAGTACTCCTGATAATGTGTCAAACTACTCCTAGAACTCTGGCACATATGCTCGAAATTCCTCATTATAAAGGAACCGGCTCGTCGTCCTGACAGGTAGCTCGGACGCACATTCCACAACCAACCCTGCAGAAGTTGGACAAGATTGGCTACGAATTAGTCCTGCGAACATCCTACTCGGTAGACCTTTTGCCTATAATTTGTCACTTTCTCGACTACCTGGATAGCTTCTCCAAAGAGTTATGCTTCAAAAACCAACATGATGCGGAAACGACCTCCGCCGGGTTCATCGTCTCTAGAGCTCCAGTATTCTGCACTACCGGGCTGATTCAACGCAGCTGTTATTGGCAGAGGTTTGTGGATTCTAACAGTCTTTACTCCAATCAAAAAGGTTTCGAATGAGCCGAGATACAGGCATTTGAAAATCAAGGTCCAAAAGCGCAAGAACTTTCTTCACGACCTAATACTTCCCAGAATTGTAGGCGATGTTTCACTAGTTCCAATACATGAGTGTTTCAGAGATTAGCAGTCGCTATTTGTTCTGCAGCTAACGATGATATCATCGTTCATCGTACTGTGTTATACCATCAGGTGACTATCGCATAGGTGTGGAGGAAATAGTTGGTCTGATTATCCATCCTTTATGCTGCACATGTAAAGCAGAAGGTGTATCCAAGGTGGGGCAAAAATAAAGATACCAGGCGGCTCCTCTCGAAATTTGCGTCATAGTGCTATTTATATAGAGCAGGTAAGAGAGGCAGTTGGTGAGCTAACCATAGGCCAAATCCGAAATCAATCACCAAATGGCGCTATGGAAACTACATGCTTTTAGACTCATAGCCAACAGTCCTATGCCACAGGGTTGGCAATGGTCAGGAAACGGCTGATATTCCGTGGCCGATTACCACTCCGTGCTTTGTCCTAGCCCTCTGTCAAGAAGCGTAGAATGGTGACTGAACAAAAACTACCTTGGTAAGACCGCTGGGGAACAGGGTCAGTAACAGAAGTGGAAATCATACGACAAGGAGGGTATAGCGCAGCAGAAAATGAAAACATCCAAAAAAAACATGATATTAAATTTTCTTTGCAGGTTCAGTCGCTCCATTCCTCCACCTTCATGAGAAGGGCGTATTTGAAGGCAGTACAAAGAATGAAAGTGCATCCCCGCAAAGAAGAGTGCCACATGTGCGCACGCGCTGCAAAGGCACCTCCTCCGCCTATCACTCGCTCCTTCTCCCTTAATACCTCGCTGAGAATGACGCTGTTGTTAGGGACCCTGTCGGAAAAACGACAACCGTGAAGAAAAAGCGCTGGGCAAATGAAGTTGTTTTTTAGGTTACAGGAATAGCACAACACACTATGTCTACTACAATACAGTTTCGTTCGAAGGTCCCCATCATATAACACCTTTCAATCGATTCTGCAACTGTGAGTGGAGGAGGGATGCATGGCTTATACCAATACCAAATCGGATGATGACGATTGCTCCTATTCTTATTGTTTGCGTTCAAAGATATTGTTCTAGACACATTCCGAGTGTTGCCAACGAGTCACACTTGCAATGGTGAATGAGGGAGCGGATTTCCAGGTGGCCGGATCCGACCTCGATAGATCCTCGACGCAATTATCTCTTCAACCAAAAAGCTGTAGAAGAAAACTAAACAGACCATCAGGAAGCGCAAACCTTCCGCTTTCCAAAACTATCTTCCCTTTTTCAGGATCTTACAATATAAGAGATATATTGCTCTTGAAGTGGCAAAAACTCGCGTGAAAATTTGGGCCTCCTCGACATTTACTCGACGAAATTTGAGAGACCCTATCTTTCTGCAGGAAGGCTTCCAGAGCAATTTCGATGCTTGTTGGAAACGCGAAATCCAGCTCTATCTAACTCTACCTCAAGCTGCTTCAAAGGTTGTGAAATGGAGGAATGCAACCTTTTCATCGAGGGTGTAGATTCGGACGTTTTTTTTTGAAATTTCGGCAAATCTGACCCAGTGACAATCGCGCCGCAGCTGCCGTTGAATCGGCCTTTGATACACTCGGCTGTTTTGATATACTCAAGCAAGAATCAAGATTGAATCGCAACCCCGTGTCTTCAGGATTTCTGTGCGTTTCTGAACGAACCTCGCCTTGAGGTCACACAAAGTTAATGCCTCTTTCCTCGAGTCGATATTTCAGTATGTACACAAAAGTATGCAGCGATGGAAGACGTGCATAGATGACAAGATGAAGCGTCCTTAGCATTATTTTGCAGAATTTTTTTTGATTTGTTTTGCAGGATTTATTTTAATTGAATTAATTTGCTCTGTTAGAGGGGGTCGTGCCAGGATCTCGATTTCGGGGGGGGGGGTCGTACCTCTGCGACCACGTACTCGACACGATTTTCACCCTGCTGGAGTTAACCAGTGGCGGGCTCGAATCGGGGGAGGTTGCAGTCAAGTCTCGATACACCTACCCTCCTGAGACTGTTGCTTCAAGGTGTGAAATGAAGAAGCCATTTGATTTCAGGCAGTGGCAAAGTGCAGGATAACAGCATCCAGTTCGAGGAAACGAGTTCGTGAGTTATTATGTACGATATGCAATTTGAACCTCGAAACGCTGGTTAGACTCATAAAAACTTACCCAAAGCACGATAGAGGATATGGAAGAAATCGAATTACGTGGGCCACACGTAATGTGGCTAAGGTATGACTACATGTTCTCCAGTTATCGCCAAGGCATTCCACTTCCATCGCCAATCACAATGGCATACTAAATGCGACGTGGCCTATACCTGGAACTTCGGAACCAGCGAAGCCCTTGGCCAGCAGACCAGTTGCGGACCCTTTTCTGAACATTGGTCGTTTATAAACCATATGAACATATTTTGTCTGTACAACAAACACGCCTAGCCCGTAGGACGCGCGAGCTTGTTAGCCAGCCAAGCAAGTTTTTAACATATATACGAAAAAATAAGTAGCACACCCACCCAACCCAGATTAACACGTTGACGACATCGCGCGTTTTGGGTTTTTGCACCGCGTGGGACCAGAGCGATTTTGCGAGCGCCGCCGCCGCACACCAAATCCATGGATTTTGAGCTGTAAATACGCAATACTTAGATGCGATGAAGTGTTTTCAATAATGTTCGATCTGTCTAACTTATCGGGAGTTACAGTAATGGAAGTTCGACCAAATGACGAGTTAAGGCCATGAAAAGGGAGATTTTACTCACTTAACTTTTCCCTTTAGTGGTTCCAAAATTAATTTGGACGTGGTTGTTTCAGTAAAAACACATATCTTCCCATACGAATAGGTTTGTATTCGCTTCTATTATTCCTTTTTATCAACATGTTCACGTTAATGAAAAGAAAACGAGGAATGAACTGAACAAACATATTCGTAAGGTCTGGAAACGTCTGCCAAACTAAAGAATATTTGGATTTCAGTGAGCCATGTGGTTTTTAAGTATGCTAATGTATGACCTATAGAATGAGTACAAAGACCTTAGGAATAAGTCGCACAAGCGCAAGAAAAAGGGATGACTTGGGTGGGACGCGTTACCGCGTCACAATGTCCCACGAGGTGTGCAAAGTGGGACGCGCTACCGCGTCACGCTTCGCCAACGTGTTAGCAGATTGTGTAGTCGTGAGGATAATCGGCAGACCGATCACTGCAGAAGGATATCTCGTTAAGGATGATCTGTACATATACAGTCTAAAAGTCCAAGAAGTTTTTGACGTCTGAAAAATTCTAAAAAATTCAAAAATCGACCAATAATTAGGTCTATTTTGTGGATGTACCGAGCCACACTGGTCGGCTTATGTTGAGTGTAATGGAGTAGAGGACGAACACACCTTTTCATATTTCGTATTATTTACGAATA